AGTGTTGTTGTCTGTGGCTGTTGGAATAACTTTGCCAACTACAAATTGTTCAAAAGCTCTCACTGTGTTGTACACTGCAAGAAGTTTGAGGTAATTGATGTGACAACATCTATCTATTGCTACTGCCTTGTGAATTTGCCAGAGTATTTTTTTCCAGTTTTCCTCTCCTCAAAATGAGGTGCGTCTTATTTGGAGGTGCGTCTTATGGAGCGAAAAATACGGTATATGCATGTTGATTTTTTTTCTAACACAAAGAAAGTAATCCCGGTATTTAAAATTGAAGGATGCTACATTGAATGGAGGGGGGAAACAAAACAAAGCAGGAGAACCAAACTTAAATACTTTCTGTCTTGTAATATAGTCTCATGGTAATCCTGGTTATCACATGCAGGCATAAAACAGGTTGTACACACTATTGTAATTCTTTAGCATTCTTGTGTGTGTTTTTCTTAATAAAATATACTGTATAGTATATGGTTGTAAAAAGTGTTACTTACTCCATTATCTCTTTACCTTCATTGCCTCTTGCATCCCTCTGTCTGTGATCTTTGCTTATCCAGCTCACTGAGGGTAGGTACCAGACTGTCTCCCTCAGATGCATTTAACATTTTCCCTTGTTGTACTTTATGGTTGGCTTGGCTTCTCAGAATATGTGCATTATGTCACTTCTCTGCCTTCCAGTCTCTCCTCATATGCTCTACATCTAATATTATATCCCACTGTAACTAAGCAAGTATTTGGCATTAAATAAAGCATATTCTTTCCCACTGTGCTCCTAGCTTGTATTCTTCTGTGTTTAATACACATGTGTCATTTGCATTGTGTAATGCACAATGAACAGTCAGTGGAGTTATATACATAGTATAAGTAGTTAATGTGAAAAACTGCTTCAATTATATAGTTGAACTACTTCTGTTGGTACTTAATACTGATGTTTAATTACTTGGTTTGGTACCTTTAAGAATTAACCTTAATTCATCGTGAAGAGAGCAGTGTTACCAGAGGGCCTATGTTACCTAGCTCTTAGTAGCCCTCAGAATCTGGCCTTTCCTTCCACAAACTGTTTTGACTTTAGTAATTACCATTTTTGTGTGTATTATTTTTGTGAAATTGATTTTTAAAAATCTTCCTTTACAGTTTTATCTTAAATATATTTATCAAGAACAGTATACTGTACTGATTCTTCACGTAGCCTTGCAGATAATTAGTAACCTCTTAGGGATATGCCTTCTACTCAGGTTACCTTGTGGCTTATAGTTGCAACTAGGAACATAAGCTACGTTAAAAAAAATCCACAGGGTGACCTGTTGTGTCATAATACTTAAACCAGCTGCTCTTTAGTCTTTTTGTCAGCCAGCTGCACATTCTGCTGTGTTAGCTTTCTGTTGTGAGGAACTTTTGGACAAAGCAGGGTGTGTGTCACAAAATTGATAATGGAAAGCACCTACTAGATCATCCGTTCTCTCTACCTGCCAAACAGGGCATATTATTTTCCTATTTGAGTATCAAAAACAGTACATCAAACTGTGTTACAATATGTCAAGCCGTTAGACTTCTATCAGTGATTACTGATGGAGAGGTGATTTATAAGTTAATGGATTACACAGCTGGTAATGCCTATTCTCCTGTTGTGTTAAATTTCTCCAATGTTTTCACATCTTCCTGGCTAATTTTGCTGTTACAGTACTTAACAAAAGTAGCACATGTTGATATAGTAATCTGTACAGAAATCCAGTGTGGTGTACTGGTTAGGGACAGACTAAGACTTGAGATGACTGGGTTCAAATCCCTGCTCAGCCAAGTATCTACTTCCCAAAAATTTCTAGGAATGAGCAAAATACCTTCAGAGAACTAGGGATTATAGTGGGGATGAGAAAATGTTGGTGTGCAATGACATTTGCTCTCTCCCCCAGACAACTTCCTATAGGAAGAGAATAGTGATGAGGGAAGAGGTGAGCAACAAGTGTAGTATGAGACCCTCATGCTGTGGCCTCAGCGCCATTTTTCTGGGGCCTGTGATCTTGCGGCACCTCGTGTTGCGAGATCTCAGGCCTCCACATCTACATTCTAGTGGCTGCCATGATTTTTGTTTTCATTGATGCTCTCTCCCGCAGCAATTTGGCTGAGCAAATAATTGCTGCTGTGTATAATGTTTCTAGGTTCTTTGGACAGTCTTTTTGGGCAGGGGTGAGTGTAGTAGATAAAATGTTGCTGTTGTTTTTAATTTGGCTATGTATTAAATTTTATTTGATTTTATATTGGTGGAAATGGTGGTGCTGGATGTTAAATGCACAAATTATGCCAGGATTGGTATAATTGGAGCCAAGGGTGAGATTTTGTGTCTACAGGCTCTTGGCTTCGTGGTTCAATTCTGGACATAGCAATGTGCCACTAATATGAATTTAGGAGTTAGGCAGTTGGACCAAAGAGCACCTTTCCTTTCCCTCCACTCCTTTTCTCTTCCATTCTGTCACACCCCTTCTCTCAGACGCCAATGCCCAGCCTTCCTTTGCCTTGTCACTTGACTATTTAGGTAATGGTATCTTTAAATCACCACAGGAATTAACATTCTTTCTTTAATAAACTTCACTTGGTTACTCTTCCTCTTTCCACTGCCCCCACTTTCAGTTGTCCCATTGTGTGTGTGTACATTTGTCCCTTCACTCAGGCTGTTATAACACTCTATAGCAGATCCTCAAGTACTGAAGTAAGCACAGTGCTTAAAGAATATTGTTTATTCCTGTGTTTTATATTCTTATATTTCCTCTTCCCTCCCTTTCTGTCCATTTTTTCCCTCAGAGCCCCGGACTCCGAAACCACCCTCTCCCCAGTCTTTCCACTTCAGAGTGCTCCAAAACATCACTGACACTCCCCTCCCCTAGTTTCTCTCCCAGCCAAAAAGAACTACTCTTAACCAGCATTCCATGCTCCTCACTCACCCTTTCCATCACATGCTTACCAAACCAATGTTCAAATACTATGTTTACCATCACAAAAGTATAACTGGGCATCACACCTTCTATGAAGGATTTGTTTGTGCACTTTCTTAGTTACAAGATTTAAATTTGTATGTGGGCGAGTAAAGTTGGTTAGTAAGAAATTAACTGTGTGGCTCTAATTTATTGAGGTACCGCCTTTGTTGGTGGAAAGAAGTACAGATATATTTGGAATCCCAATCAAGAAACTTTCTGCTGCATTAGGAGATGAGGGTTTGGGGAATTGCACAAGTCTACAGGGTTAGTGTTATGTATACCTTAGAATGCGGGAAAGTGGACCTTCTGTCTAGAGTTGAAAAGAAAGGGGAGGTAGATGTTCAACTTCTGAAAAGAAATAGACCTACTCAGAAGACCTGTTTCTGATATGTGAAGAACTGAGTGGTGAAAATATCTGTTCTAAACCTCAGATTCAAAGTGCTGGACCTATGCATTTCAGAACTTAGGAACAAGTTAAAATATAATGAGAGCTGTGACAGGAATTCTTGAAGAGTAACAGTTTTGCATACTTTTATCTGATGAGGTTGATAAATTTGTCCAGTTCCAAAGAGGAGAGATTTCATAATTTTTCTACAAATCTCATGGAAATTAACTCTTTTTTGACTTTTTCTTTCTCTCCTTTTTAGGATATAAAACTGGATCAGGTTACTAAATTAGCACTTGGGAGAGAAATTAATTTTGAGATTGTCTGCAAAAAGGTATGATTCTTCATATTTATGTTAAATAATAATGTACACTTAGCAAAACCATCTGACTTTGGTCACAAGCAAATATACATGTGTGCCACTTCTCAAAGCTTTCTTACAGTAATGGAGAAAACAGTCAACAAGCTTCCTAGTAGTTTTTGCTGGATACACTGTACATAGTAGATGCTAGAGATGGGCATGAACTTCCAGTTCAGGGATTCATGGCCAACTCTAGTAGATGCATTCTTTTTAATAGTTTCCTGTTCTAACTTTCTGCCTCCCCGCTTTGAATCTTGCAAAAGCAAGGATAATACATCTTATCATAGATAAACTGTGATAAGGTTTTCGTTTTCAGCCAGATGTATCTGTCTTTAATTTGTAGCACATTGCAAAATAGGAATGGTTATTTCATGCCATCTTCACCACACATGGCCTATGATGCAGTTTTTTAGTTTTTATATTTAGCAATTTGATTGCCACCACTTTCAGTTGTCATAGGGAGCAAAGTCTAGACATGATGATGTTACCATGGGATTCTGGTCCCAGTTTTCCAGCAAGGAAACAGGCTAAGACGCATCAGCTGAACCGAAGTCCGATTTTATTTTGCAATGCCTAAAGATAGATAAATCAGCTGGGCCTTCCTCTTAAAGCAGAGAAAAGGCCCTGAAAATACAGAGAACATATGTTTTATAGTAATTATAGACAAAGAGCCATAAAGTAGTACATTTCTATTGGTCATCTGAACCCCAACTTTGGATCGGGCTTCCCATTGGGCCAAGGATGCAAGCTAGTTCATTGGCTATAGAGAAATATCCATACTGTGCCCCCATGCTACCTTGACCTGTGGTCAGGATGCGCCTGAATGTCTGGAGGGGAGAGTTTCTATTTCCCTTATCGATTGATATGTTTATGTGTGTTCTTCCTGGGCCTTGGATGTACGGCCTTCAAGAATTGTGATTCACTGGCAAGTGTTAAAATACTGATTGCTTTCTTTCTCCTCCCGGCATTCCAATGGTGGGCCATCTGTGCCATTTGCTACCTTAAATTGGCAGTTCTGAGGCAAGAGAAAGAGTTACAGTGTTGTTCTAGGTGAGCCATAAATACTATCTGCTAGTTGTGAATGTTTCAGGGTTAGGCTTTGTAAGATTGGTGAGGCCTGGTACTGTATTTTTCAAGTATTATGTCAGTTCTAAAATATTGTCGCCTAGAGTGGTCACAATTGACCAGATAGGCAGGGTATGTATGTATGTATGTATGTATGTATGTATGTATGTATGTATGTATGTATGTATGTATGTATGTATGTATGTATAAATAAATACCAAGGTGGCCTGGATGCTTGCTGTCCAGGTACTCACTGCGAAACCGCAACTCACTGTAGACAAGCAACTCCAAGGTCCCTGACCTCCCTCCTTGCAGATATCTTTGATTTGAATTGGAAGGCCCTGCTAAAAGGTCACCTTCAAAAGGATAATGATCCGCTGGCAGCCTTTCAAATGTAACACTGTTCTCCCTAAAAGAGGACATGTGGCCACACTTGCAAGATTACTGTTTGGATTCTTTTAACATATAGAGGAACAAAATAAACCCCTCCCCACCAGTTCTGTTTTTATAATAGGCTTGCCATGCTCAAACTCATGTTTCATGCATATGTCACAGAACCAGAGTTTTAGGGTGATACCTAATCAACTGACAGAGACCTTTGGGTAGTGTGGGCGGCATATAAATTAAATAAATAAATAAATAAATAAATGGCTTCTTCGGTATTTGAAAATGTAGAATCTTCTCCCTCCGGTATCAATTGGATCAGTGAATATGTTTGAAAGCACTCTGCAAAATGTGTACAAAGCATTATTAATTAGAACCCAATAGAATGCTTCCTTCAGATGGAGTTTGCATTCTTCTCTTCTGGCATGATATCCCACCATTATCAGTCAGCTTGCTCGTCACTCACATGTGTGATTCACAGAGGCCACAGTGAAGCAGGACAGATTACTTATCTTTAACTGTAGTTCTCCAAGTCATCTTCTTAGGGACCCCTTCGACAGCTCCACCTGCCCCTCTGAAGTGATCACCTCCTCCCCTCTGTCATGTTCAGGGTGGATTTTATTTCAGTCAAATCAACTTTTACATTTTAAAAATTGGGTTTTTTTATGTTTTAAATTTTTAAATTGATTTTTAAACATTTAAATCATGATTTAAATCAATTTGATTTTTATCCACCCTGGTCACTTTCAGCCCATCTTGTGGGTGGCAGATGGAGGAGACCTGAAGAACTCAGGGTATGGTTGATCATGCAGAGTAGCACTGGGGAAGAGGAACATTTCTTCTGAAGCTCAAGAGAGATTCCAAGGCTGATCTCTGCCCAGATGCAAAAGCCATATGTGTGAATTCACAGATGACTAACTGCAGTTACAGATAGGCAACCTGTCCTTATCACTACAACAGTAAAACTAAAGGTATTTCAAATCTAAGCTCTGCTCCGAATAAGTACATAAGATCTAGGCACACTATTCTGATTTGTTTTTGCCAGAATCAATAGATGATTAAGATGCTGGGAACCTCTTATGTTTCTATTTAAATTAGTGTAATCTACCCTTACATATAGTAACTTAAATTTGCATTTGCAAATGTAAAATAAAATGTCCTCCTTTATGGCAGAAAATTTCCTCCTTTTTGGCAAACTTTGTCATCCGTGCTCTCTTTTTAAAAAAATTATTAACAATTTTAATAAGATAGAAAATACAAAACCATAAAATAGTTATAAGCCATCACACCTACATAGTAAGCATATCAAATTATATTGCTAGTTAACATAGCACATTTTCTATAAATCAGCATGAGTGGGGGGGGGTCGCTAAGAGAATCAGTATGATTATTACAGAATGAAGGAAAGTCAGGTTTTATAAAGTAAGTCTATACTGGAATCCTGGCAGATTCTCAGCTGTTAAGTGTGCAGTGAGGTTTTCCATCAGAGCTAATTTCCAAGCCCTAGATCAGCAATGGTGAACCTATGGCACGCATGCCGCAGCTGGCACGCAGAGTCATTTCTGCGGGCATGCGACCCATAAATCACCAGATCTCTACTCCCCCTCGCAGCCAAACCTGCAGAAGTGTCTGCAGCTGCAGTGCTGGCGCTTCGACAGGTGGTGGGCCAGGATCCAGAGCAGCTGGTGCTGGCAACGGATCTGGAGTGGGGTCTCGAGGCACCTCCGTGCCCAGGATTCCCTCTTCCGCCACCACTTCCGCTTCTGCCACCACCACTTCTGGTTCCACTGTGGCCGCCGCCCGCTGAGTTTTTTGTTTTTGTTTTTTCAGTTTGGACACTAGGGCCCAAAAAGGTTTGCCCTTACTGCCCTAGATTCTCAAGCATTCATTGAAATTTCTGGAGCTGTCTTCCAACATTGAGCAACTGTTAGTCTAGCTGCCACACACACAAAAGTAATTAGCTCTTTATGGTGTCATAGTGCATTGTTCCATACTCTGTCTTTTTAAAAAATTCCAATCAACAATAACAACAACTCAAGCCACAACAGAACAAAGGAAAAGGGGGAAACCTGAGTCAACCCATCTGGCTACCTGTCTGTCTATTCCTACCCATCCCCCACACAGATCACTTGCCCCATGAGTTGGTGCTCCATTCCAACATGTTATATTGCACTGTTGTGCACTTACTTCAGTTGAATGCATTTTAGCTGTTCACATTTTGATCATGTACATGGGTTGATGGCATTTTATTCCTCCAAGATGCCCCACAAGCTATATCCTCCTTTTTGGTGGTGTCTGCCTTCCTTTCTGACCATGCAGTGGTGGCTATACTACATTCAAACTTAGGGAGGCAGATCTTATTTTCAATATATAGGGGAGGGGCTAAACAATTGGTAATCTCTGATAATATATATTAGGTAAGGAATTCCCTCTAGAGAGGGGGGGAAAAAGAAAGGAATAGTTTTTTGTATGTGAGAAAATGTAAGGAGATTGTTCAGTATGTCTTTGTACCTTTGAAAGTGTAGTTAATGGCCTTGACTTCCAGAGCTTTCTCCTGTGCTTTGAGCAGTTTTTCTGTGCATTTGAAACACTGGAGAAAACAGATCTTTTGCAAATATTTTTTGTGATAGATTGTCAGTTCTTTGGGGCTGAATGTAACTTAAACTAGACTTTTAAATTAACAATGGAATCCTCCAAGTATTGCTTTGATTATGTTGTTCTATGTTACATATTACTGCATTTTTGTGTAATACCTTTTTAGATTCTAAAGATTAGAACCATTTCAGCAATAGATAAAAATACAGTTACAACTGGTTTTTTAAAAACTTAAGCTATACATTATTTTGCTTAAGTTAAGCAAAGTCGTCTGTCTTTATTTGATTTGTACTAATAGCAGTTGGTTTGTATATGTGGATTCCAGTAGTTTAGGAATCAAGTACCAAATAGGTGATGTTTCAGCTATGTTTCAACTACGGATCTAAGCCAGTGGCTTTGAAGTTTCTTTTTGAAGTCTCGTGCCAATTACACATTTATGTTGCCCTGTAGAAAACTTTAGCACTTGTACTTTAGCAAAGTACTACAGAACACATAATTACTGATACAGATTTTAACATCCTTTGTGTTAAAAATAATCTGTTCATTAAGCCAAGGAGAAACAGATTACTGCCAACTCTGTCGTCTTTTGGGGAGAGCGGTTAGTATCTCTTGTGAGTTTATCTGACGTTTGTGGGTGATAACTTATTCTTTATACATACCTTGTACAGTATGGGTGTTCGAGATTTTTTTCAATGTTTTGCTATTTAAACTGCCATAAAGATACATGAAATGGACAGGTATAATTGCTTTCACAAGTGTGCTTATGTAGTCTGCACACCTGCAGGAATGGTAAAACTGTTGAAAAGTCTGAATTTACTCTGCTTAGTAGGGCTTTTTACAGGCTAAAATCCTTGGATACAGATGTTATAACTCAGCTTTCTATTTCTTTAGAAATAGTAAGATAAGATATCCTAAGAATAATCTTGACAGAGCTGAAACAGTACCCTCATTCTGTCTGGGATGGAAATGACTGTGGGTGTGTAAAACCACTGTTTCCTGATAGATTTCCATGGCAAACAGACACTAACTTCAAACAAAAGTGGCTGCGGTTGCTTTCAGCACATTGGTGGAGAGGGAATGTTGCATGAAGGTGTAACATTTGTCTGCCTGTGACTAACTCTGTTCCTGCAACACAGATGATTCAGTGCCGTGATCTTCAAAACATTTGTACTTTTGAACTGGGCTCTTAAATATTTTCACAGCCGTAAGAATGTGTTGTCTAACTGAGTGTCTCTTCCATGCCAAAGATACACATTCTGTCTTGTGGCACTGGCTTTTGAGCAGAAATAAACTGGCTCTAACAGCTTGAAGAGTCAGAGGCAGATGTTGCATGTTGGATGCCCAAGGAGTGGCATGCAACATTGCGCAGGCAGACATCCCTTCATACCATTGAAATTTCCTGTGTTATCCAATTTCCCCTCCCAAGTCTTCCCATGCACCTCCAATTTCTCCTCTCAAAAGTCTCCCAAACTATATGTTCCACCAATGGATGGTGTTCTGTCTATGGATGGACACAATTGAATTATGCTCAAGAATAGCTCATCCAGATGCCTTATACACTTTCAGATGTACTTTACTAATATTTTGCGAGCTGAGTCATTTGTATTATGCAGAATAATTTGCAGATATTTACCAGGCACAGTAATCTGGGACTATTCAATACTTAATAGTGCCTTTGCTGAATACAGCATTCCTGTTTATTAGCCACAGACAAACATCGTGATTGCACCTTTACCATCATTTACTACTTAAGTAAATGATGGTGATGGGGGAATTGAAATAGGGACAATCCATGTGAGATGTTTATTTTATGGCTACCATGAGACAGCTTCTGCAGAGAGATCTTGCCATGGAACTTTGTTCCAGCACTCTGATGTTGAGTTCCTTGGGACACAGAAGGGGAATTCTTGTTCTTCCCTGACTATAGATGAAGTAAATTCTGATGGGTTTTGTCCAACATTCCAGGCCAAAATCTGTCTCTCACTAATGCAAACCATTTACTTTATATAACTGAGTGTGGGCTGAAGCAATCTGGATTATATCAAAGGCTACAATCACAGTGGACATTAAATTCTTTAGGCATTTCACACCTAAGAACAAATAAACAGAGGTTAATTTTATTTACTGTAGTGGGGAGGGCAAAGTGAAGCCTCTGGATATTGGAGCACAACTTTCATCAGCCCCAGGCAATATAGACAATGAGGAATTGGTAGGCCCTCCAATAACATCTGGAAGGCCTAGCATTTGCCAACTTCTGCACCGTACACAGCTTTAAATATGAACGTTTAGCATATTATTGTACGAAAGTTTTTAACTTGATTGCACCATCACCATACATTAAGATCCAACATGGTTTGAATGCTTGAGAAGATTTAACAAAGTAATATTATCACAAAGTGTGCTGATGACAAGAAATTTCTGTTTGGCACTTCCTTGTAAAGCAGAAATAAAAATACAGTTTGCTACTTGCTATAACAGTGGGCTGAAATTCTTATCTACTTCCCAGATGGTGTGGAATACCAGAAACTTTCAGGAGCATATATATATCTCTAGCCTCATAATCCTTGAAAGGTAAGCTTCTATCAAGTTCTGAGAATTTGCTCCTGAAAGTTTCTGGTATTCCATATATATATGGAGCATATATATATGGAAATATATATATTATAGAATGGAGCATATATATATATGCTCCATTCTATAATATATATATTTCAAACAGTGGCTAGGTTGTTCCATTCTATAATTTGTCCCATGGGAGGAATGCTCTCAGACGTGGCATGCTGTCATTTTCAAGGTATTCTTTTGGGGAGGGAAAATGGATGGTCTCTTTTTTGTTTTAACTTTTAACCATTCAACAAGCTTATTTCTCATTTTTCCTATAAAGCCCAATTCTACAGCAAGAGATAGAGCAATTGCTCGACTGGCAGCTCATCCACTACTGAAGACAAAAATTGCTGCTATTAAAGGTAATCTATAGTTAGCCCTCACAATGTATGTGCATTGAAACCTCGGGTTGTAAATGTTCTCTTGTTCAGTTCTATCTCACAGTTTACTCTCGTACTTTACTGTTTTTTTCAAACTGAGACTCCGGAGCAGACAAAATGTTTTGCATTCTGTTTATCTGAAATAATTAGGAAGAGACTACAAAGGTGTCAGAGAAAGCAGTATGTTCAGTGATGCCTGAAAATGCACATCATCTAAAGAGTTGCAGCATTCCTTTTCCTATGAGTCCCAGATACTGAATTGTATTAAATTGCTGTGTGTACTATTGCATGCATTTATTACTGCTCTTACCAGCAAGATGAACAGTTACGTAATATTTTAGTGAACATTCTAATTCTTTCCAGAGTTGCTAAAATGTGATTCAGAGGCCTCTGATAAAACTATGAATAGGGTATGACTTCTGGATTTCTAGGTCTTCTAGTTCCAAAATTCATTTAAAATTCCCCAGGCAAAATTCTAGTGCTGGAAGAGGACAAACCAGAAGGCAACAGGGATGTAACTCTACCATTATCGCTTCACATGCTTTGGCTGAGGAGAAGAAAGAAACACCTCTTCAGTCCCATTGCTTCTTCAAAGTTACCCCAGGCCTTTATGGGAAAGTTAGGCTCACTATCCATCAGATTCTATAGGGGGAGCCTCTCACTGAACTACCCTTCCCATTGAAGGGTAGTTCCTGGCAACTCCTAGGAAGCAGTGGGACTGAAGTTCCTTACTTCTATCCAGCCAAAGCCGTGGTGTTAGAGAGACATCTTTTTTGCCTTCTGGTTTCTCCTCTTCCAGCCACAGAATTCTGCCTGTGGGATTCTAGATGAATTCTGAACCTGGAAGTCATAGAAATCTTCAAGTCCCTTTCCTAACTATGTGTATAATGCAGCTTAGGAGAGACCAACATAGTTCAATATTTAAAAAATGATATATAGGGTTTTTAACCCCCTATGTAGGCTTGCTTGGAAATAAATTCCACTTTGTTCAGTGAGACATTTCTTGAAAATGTACCTGGCCTTGCAACCAAATTTCCAGTTTGTTTTTCTGAGATGCCTAGCGAAGATAAAACTCCCTATCTCCCCACCTCTGTTCTATCTACTACTTGGAGATACTGTTTTTTTCAGTCTTGCATCACTGGGTTCATCTTTAACTTCTGGATTCTACCATCTCCCATTCATGAAGGTCACTGGTCACTCGGGCAATACAGCAAGTGTCGTCTGCTGGACATTTTGACTCGATAAATAAAAAGTTATTTGAGAAGAATGAAGTATTTTTCCAAGGATCAATTTTATGAGGTGTTAAAGCTACTGATTGAGGCTTAGGAAAGAAGAACATAATACTCTGTCTGTGTGAAAACAGATCAGTTATAGAAACATTACTTTTATGGACTAAAGTTCATCACATTTTGATTGCATTTCTTTTCCTAGCTCCAAGACTTGAGGAAACAGCCTTGAGTTAACCCTAAAAATTAATAGGGCCATTTAAATGTTCCATTCAGAGCTCAAAGGGACTGATTAACTAGAAGTGGCCCATATTGGTTTGGGGGTGGGGGGGATCGAAGTACCAAAATGGTAGAACCTGTCCCCTTAAAGAATGAAAGAAACCTGCTGTCTTTTTCACCTTTCTTGACTGTTGTAAAATGAAATTAAGAATGGCACTAGTATTCTTCTCTGCTGCTATGTGGAGAGCATATTTTAGCATATATTAGCCTCTCCTTTCTTTGCATCCCCTGCCACAAAAAAATTCTTTGCACCTTAAATTCCCAACATTTTTAGCATCGCAACTTGTTTTGAGTATTCAGAATACTTCATGATCTCCCTCCCTTTCCTTTACCATCAATTTCCGTTCCATATTTTGTAAAACCTAGCATTAAAAATATACTAAGGACTGCTTTGTTTAAAATAAGCACAAATGGTTTTTGTCTCAAAAAATGATAAAATGTCGTTTATTTTAAGAAAGCAGAAATAAAACCAATTTAATATAAATCATTGTGCTGCATTTGCTTGAAGATGGGAAATTCTAGGTTTGCACAGTTGAATGTGTGCAACACAAATGTATCTTCCACATATATTCATTTTCACTGAGCTGTAAAAGCACACTCCTTATTTAATTAATTAATATCCCAGCTTTATCTCATGTAAAAGGCAGTTTGAAAACACAGACTTTTCTCATACTAAAATTGTCCCGTAATAGTGCTATTTGGCCTGCTCCATTTCTTCTGTTTTTTTTATTTTATTTTTATTTTTTTTGGTATCAAGGCAATATTCCATCAAATTTTGTTTTGAAACTTATATAAAGAACTTCCATCCCCATCCATGCTGGGATTCTGTAACACTCGGAAGGTAGCTGGTTGAGCTGAGAACTAGCTGCTGAAATTGTCTTGGGAGGAGAAACAAGAGCCAATATTAAAATGTCCATCTGGAACACAGGTGTAAAAAGACACAGCAAGGTATACACAGCTCAGGCAGTTCTGAAGATTCCTGGATACAGAATAAATTGTCTTCACATTTATGCTGGGCAGAAAGAATTTAGCGCTAAAATCCTAAGAATGCTCGACTGATTCTAAGCCTTTCTGAAATCCATGAGATGTACTTTTCGACATGTGTACTTCACCTCAGAATTTCCATCATTCCATTTCTCCCCCCCTCAACGGCTCAGTTAGCAAATCTGAGCAATAGATCATAAATCAGTATCTCTTTATCTCTCTTCTGGAAATGAAGGTGAAAAGGTGATCTACAGAAAGAAAAGAGCTCTTCAACTAATGATGGAGTTAGGAGTGTGAATGCCAGGAGGAGTGCCTCAGAAGGCAGTGGCCAGATACTAACCACTCTGAGTCACTCCTTCTCTCATTCTTCCTACATGTGCCAACCCGGTTCCATTCGCAAAGAAGGCTGCATGTTCCCTCTCCCCTCCTCCCTTGCCCCCAAGAGCTGCAACCTGCTATGAACCACCACCACCTTTTCTATTCAGACTTCCCTTATTTGTATGTTGCTTACAGATTTTTTTTTAATGGCCAGTGGCTCTGCAGTAAAACTCTGGCCCTTTCTTCATCCTCTCTTTTTCTATCAGTAACAGAGGATTCTTTCAGAAAAGAAACAAAGTGGAGGGAGACAGGCATCTCTCTCTGGGGATGGAGTTCAGGTAGTGCGTGCAGGAAAAGTGAATGAGCAAGAGACAGTGTGGGAGTTGTGTATTCACACACACCCAAGATTCCCTGTAAGCTGGGCACCTGAGTGCCTCTGTCTCCCTCACAGCTGGCTTCCCCCTCCACTCAGCAATCGTATTAGGTTCTGGTCATGATGGAACCCTGCCGGGGGGGGTGTCACATGTGTGCACAGGAGCAAAGTCGAGAGAGGTGGAGCCGCGCCCAGCAGAGCTGAAAGTCTGAGGGTACATTGCATACGCCTCATCATTAGTTGTTCCTTTTCTTTGGAAGAGCTGGCTCTTCCTACAAATTCCTTTTCCACATTATTTCTAAAGACCATACATCTGTTCATTCCCTCCTTTCAGTGTCTTTCAGTCAATCTCCTCCTGTCCCTTGAATGTCTCTATGTCCACCAAAAGGAGAATGTTTGGGAATAATGATTGAAATCCTGTTTCTTTACTACACATGCAGAAAGCAAGCAACAGCATTCAGTCGCTTCTAGCTGGCAATTAGCAAGTCGCTGGTAGGGGTCTCTGGAACACATGCTCAAGTGGTAACCCTTTCTTAGAGCTAGCAGGCTCTAAAAGTTAAACCATTCCTTTCTGACAGAATTCTTCTGGAATCAGAGGGAAAATGTATTAAGTTATAAAATTCTCTGTTAGATTTTGAAACACAAGATGAAGTGGTAAAGGCGTGTATGATTAAATGGGCACAGAATGTTGGACATAATATTGAACTGGATCAATGAGAACGAATTTGGAAAATAAAATTAACTAAATCTGTTGTATTTAAAGAGAATATATACAAAATGTTTATCATGCTAAGGGTAGAAAAAATTATTGGAAGTTCTTGTTCTTGTTGATTTAAGCTGCCTTGACAAAGCAAGACACATAAATGAGTAAATATTGGAGTTTCAAGAAATTGCACATCCCAGGTGCAAGAGCAAGATGAGTCTTTTTGTTTTTTGTCAAGGTTCTTGCTGTTTACACAAAATGCCTCTGAGGCAAGTTATGCAAAACTCACAACCTTTCCCTTTAAGAAACAAAACACAGACTGAAAGCAAACACAGACAGCATAACTGATTGTGTGAAAAGCTTTAAATCCCATCCAGTTCTTCATGCAGCAAATCAGCAGTTGCTACAAATTTGACCAACTTGTGTAAGTTATGCAGTTTGCATAAAAATATCGTATCAGTAGCACGAAAACTAACTCTTGTTCCCTCAGAGATTGAGGGAACAAAATTACAATTCTGTGACCTTGCCTGAAAAGATGGCACATCCTGATCCCATACTGTTAGTTATTCCAGAGAGTCAGTGATGGTAAGAAGGAAGTTAAAATAGCCTGTCCTGTGGTAGACTCTATAGTGCCATATATTTCTTCATACATACGGCACACATACCAAGATGTTAATCAGGTGTATTTTGCCTCATGCAAATATATGCATATGGGAAGCTGCCTTAACATACAGAGCTAGAGTTTCAGTCATAATCCTCTCAGCTCATTACTTTGAGAAACACTTAATGTGGTAAAGGTAAAGGTAAAGGTTCCCCTTGACAATTTTTGTCCAGTCGTGTTTGACCCTAGGGGGCAGTGCTCATCCCCGTTTCCAAGCCATAGAGCCAGCGTTTGTCCAAAGACAATCTTCCGTGGTCACATGGCCAGTGCGACTTAGACACGGAACACTGTTACCTTCCCACCAAGGTGGTCCCTAGTCATTTGCATGCTTTCGAACTGCTAGGTTGGCGGGAGCTGGGACAAGCGACGGGCGCTCACTCCGTCGCGTGGATTCGATCTTACGACTGCTTGGTCTTCTGACCCTGCAGCACAGGCTTCTCTGGTTTAGCCCGCAGCGCCACCACGTCCCTTTTCAACTTAATGTGGGCTGCCCCAAAAGCAAAACAGTTGCTGTGCCATTATGTTGGGATTTCCCTCCTCCTCAAAATATGAATATATTCCAGGACTTTGTTATTATGTTGTTTTATTTAACATTACTATTGTACTGCTTTTTTAAAACAACAACAACTTGTTTTTTTCTAGCTGCTGTCAAAGCCTTTAAAGATGCAAGGCAGAAGTCAGCCAGAACTGTTTCCCAAGAACAGAAGTCGGAAGAACAGCATACCAAGCAACCTGAGAAGACCCAGCATTCCGTTATCAGTGACCAAAGCAAAATACTTGAACAAGCTGAAAACCACAGCAAAATGAAGGTGGAAGTGACACCAGGCACAGACATTGGAGAAAAGCAGATCTGTGTGACAGAGCAACAGAAAATGACAAACGATGAGAAACCGTGCCCCTTGGGTGATTTTCCAGTACAGGGCTCAGAACAACCCAGACTGGTTGATCGGACAGAGAAGGCAGCCTGTCCAGGAAGAACGAAACATTTGGATGCTTCCCGGAGCAGCTCAGTTGATGACTGTGATAATGATGCAAGTGAAAGTGAGGAAAGTGAAACAGAGAAGGACTACTTTGATGACAGCACTGAAGAAAGGTTCTGTAAACAGTCTTCTGGCTCAGATGAAAGTGACAGCAATGATGATTTCTTCATTGGCAAAGTTAAGAGAACAAAAAAGAAGGGAGTAGCAGCAGATAATTCCTTACCTACAGGAGAGAAAGACGGAAGGATTCTGCAAAACCACTCAAAGGACTCGCAGCCTGGCCTTGTGAAGGACGCAAACACAAAGAGCAGCTCTCAGAGTTCAAAAGCATCAAAGCTAGAATCTGTATTTTACTGTTCATTGTCCAACTCTAAAGCATCCACAAATATGAAAAGGTAAGGGATTTTTTAGTACAGCTAATAAATTGTTAGTGAGCAACTGTATTTTTTTTCCTGTCAGATATCTGAGAGTTTAGACCGTGAACCCAGTGATTTCTAACCAAGAGAACATTACCTCCACGTTTTGAGGACATTCAGACATGGGGGGGGGGCAAATGTGAGGTGTTAGAAATTTTTGCAGCGGCTTCCGATGACTAGCAAAGAAGAGAGACAGAATACTGTTGACTTTACCTTGTAGATAAAATCCTGTATCTTTGATGCCTCCAGCTTGGCTTTTCACAACGTACTGAAAAGCAAAGAAGAATTAAATAGCAGTGCCTCCCTCAGTTGCAACAAAAATTAACAAAGAATAATATACCATCCATTTACAATGAGACTAAATATATAAGGGGCACTTACCGAAAGAGAACAGAGGAGGAACCGTAATAACTAAAACAACTGGGAAAGTTGGAGATTCACAAAAAAGTGCCAGTAAGGCTGAAATACACCTAATGTGATTGATGCCACAAGAGTCTCACTGAAAGTATGCTTGAGATCTGTTTCTCATATTTATGTATTATATACTTATATTAAAGTATGATTTTTATGCTATGAAGTTTAGTTCAGTGTTTTACTTGTGATTGTGATGTTGCATAAGTGATATCAGGGTGGATTTAATTTAAATCAAATTGGATTAAGTGATCACAATTTGAATCAAATTGATCCTGAATTAAATTATTTAAATTTAAAACTTTAAAAAAGCCGTTTTTAAATGACTTAAAAAATATTACTTTTTAAAAAATTGTGATTTAAATCAGTTTGATTCTAAAAAATCATTTATTTGTATCCTGCATGGTATGCAGTAATGGATTAAACTTAAAGTATCGTTGCTGTAACCACTAAAATCTGTCCATGCATGTTTTTTCAGTGAGATAATTTTTATATTAAACTTTTTTAAAACAATCTAAATCTGTTAATATCACTCATAGTGTAAGTGTGCAAATCTAGATAGAAATTCAGCCTCAGTGAAGGCAAGCCAGCAAGTTCAGTTTGGCTATATGAATACAGTTGTTTAAATAACTGTTGGATCTGTTTAGAAATTCACTTTATGATGTCACAGTTAGCAAATGTCTATTGGGGAACATATTTTGAAAAGAAAACAATGGTATTGTTGCTTCTCACTCTTAATCGTATGCTCGTCCCTCCACAACACACTAATTTTATCTGTTCTACATTCTAGAACTATTAGAGACCAGCTTCCCAAAAAGAAAGTAACAGGTATGTCAGATTGCTAGTGATGCTTGGATCTTTGCAGTATCACAAGTAAACCCTCCCTCCCTCCCTCGTTAATACAAAAGTGGTAACTTCAGATGAATTAAGAATTTTTTTAAGTACTGTAATGGTAGTTTGTGGCAGGTGTTTACACAGCAGCTAGGTTTGTATAGTGTATTTTATTATATTTTCTCTATCTTGATTGATGTCTCTCCTTTTAGTATACAGTGGTGCCTTGCTTAGCGATGTTAATCCGTACAGCTAAAATCGCTGCTAAATGATTTCATCGCTAAGCGTTATTAAAAAGCCCATAGAAACGCATTAAAACCTGATTAATGTGTTCCTATGGGCTAAAAACTAACCTTAAAGCAAAGATCCTCCATAGGGGTGGCCATTTTCAGTGCCTCTAAAGCAAGGCAAAACACCGGGCGGCCATTTTATTTACCCGGCGGCCATTTTGAAACCGCCGATCAGCTGGCCGAAAATGGGGGCTTTGCGATGATTGCTTCCCTGCGATCATCGCAAAGCGAAATTTCCCCATAGGGATCGTCGCAAAGTGATCGCTCTTGCGATGGCAAAAAGTCCATCGCAAAGCGATTTCATCGCTATATGGAGCGATCGCTATGCGAGGCACCACTGTACTTAATTTGGGAATAAAGTATGTCCACTGTTCCTTATTTTCAGAGAAGGCTCTGCAGAGGAAAGCAGTTCTGTTTGAAATGATTAAAAGTGCAATTGTATAGATATATCTATTCCAAAATGAATCCCATTGAGCTTGTGTTTACAAGTGTTTAAAGTGTTTACAACATAAACATGAAAGCTTTGCTTTCTCCTCCTCCTCCTCCTTGGTCTTAATGTGAAGTTGTGTTAAAAGCATTACTGAAAATGGAATTCAGCTCAAGTTGTGCCATATAATTTAAGATTACAGTGGTGCCCCTACATACAAACATTTCAACTTATGAACAAAAAAAAAACGCAGGGAAAGCGGGAAATGGACTTCGGACTGCCTGGTACTTTAATTTTAAAATGTAAAAATTGGTTTAAAAGGTGCTTGGTTTGGCTTAAAGTTCCTTGGTTTTGAAGGTGTTTTGTTTAAAAGGTGTCCGTTCCCTCCCTCCTTTCCTGCCCTTTTTTTTAACCTAAGTCATCTTAGGTTAAAAAAAATTCTCCCCGACGCAGGGAAAGCGGGAAATGGACTTTGGACTGCCTGGTACTTTAATTTTAAAATGTAAAAATTGGTTTAAAAGGTGCTTGGTTTGGCTTAAAGTTCCTTGGTTTTGAAGGTGTTTTGTTTAAAAGGTGTCCGTTCCCTCCCTCCTTTCCTGCCCTTTTTTTTAACCTAAGTCATCTTAGGTTAAAAAAAATTCTCCCCCTAGTGGTAGTAGATGGATTAACCGGTGTTGCATTAGTTCCTATGGTAACTAATGCTTCGACTTACAACTGGTGCCTCTATATACAAACAAAAAACAGCTGGAACGGATTAATCGGTTTTCAATGAATTCCTATGGGAAATTCTGATTCGACTTACTAACTTTTCACCTTATGAACATCTTTTGAGATGGATTAAGTTCATAAGTCAAGGCATCACTGTATTTAAATCATATTCAAATAGGAAAAAATATTTACAAAATAATAGCAAAAATCAGGTTAATAATGCCTGCCAACCAGTGGCATAAATCTCCAGTGGCATAAATCTCAAAAGCGAATTGCCACTAGTTAAGAAGTCTGTAGTTGCACCTGTTGTTGCACATCTGTTGTGTGATGTGGCATGTATCAAGTAATGTAAACTTTGACTTCTTAACTTTATGTCGTTAGATTTCACCAAGCAGCATAAGGATTCTGGACTACATTTTCAGGTCTTGAGAACCTTATACTGAAGCTTTGTTTGCCCCTTCTAAATGCATGAACATCCACTTTAAATCTGCAAGTGTATGTTGCATCTTAGAAGCCAATGTTTGTGCAGGAAAGTTTTAGAATATAGAACTTTTTCACTTGGTATGTATATGAATGTAAATAAATATGTCATACACAATAAATAATCTATAATCTTAAATAATATATTGAAAGGAATATAATTTATACTGTGCTGATTATTGTTTATTTATTAATTCTTGAACAGCTTTTGAAAAAAATCAGCCACAGAAACAGATGTCCAGATGTTTAGGTAGAAAACCAGGGTTTGAGAAGAAACAATCAGAACAACCCCTTCATCCTTCATGGGAAGCAAGCAGGAAACGTCGAGAGCAAGTATCTCAAATTACAGCATTCCAAGGGAAAAAAATTAAATTTGAAGACTAATTTTTATTAAAAGACTGAGATTTTTTTTAACCTCATCTTACCAGCATTTATCATGCATCTTCCAATCCTTGCAGTATGTGTGGAAATGTATATATAAGCAGTTGCCTTGTTAATAATTGAAGCTGATATGCCAAGGGTGTAAACTGAAAGCAAAGACTTGAGAACAAAAATCATCCTTATTCAGTAGGTTTTTCAGTGTAGGAAAGAAATTCTAAGCTTGAAGTCATTGATTGTAAGAGGTTTTTTAATATCAAAGTTGTCATCTTGGCATTGGCTAACTTTGTCAGGAATTTGTCCAACTGGCACATTTTAAATGACCTAATGAGAACTTACATGAACTATTAAAGGTTTGATTCTCAGCTGCCAGGGTGTGTAGAAACCTTGCTGACACATAGAACATTTTGAATATCTGTTACCAACCTGAATGTTAAATGCTTAAAGAAGTCACAGTTAGAGTATGTCCATTTGAATCAACTGAACTTGGGGAGGAATTGTCTCACCGAATCCCCATTGATTCAGTGAGCCTTCTCTAGTGCAATGTACTATGTTAAGCAACAGGATTTTTGCCAATGCCAACTTTCCTTTGCTTAGTTTGCACACATTAAAACTTTGCTTGGAATGGAAGACATTTTATGTAACATCATCATTTTATCCACTTCTTACTTGTATATGTTGGTAGGAAAAGCTGTTATATACACTGAAGGTAAGACTATTTGTCTGATGAAGTCTATGAAAGTGCATGCCATGATATATTTCAGAGTTTTTAACTTATCACGGGACTTTTCTGTATTGGCTTAAAATGTGTTTTTTTCTTTTTAATTACTGGTTCCTTAACAAGCAAAGTGAATAGAATTCTTAGTAAAGCTTTACAAGGTTGAGATTTGGAATATGAATGACAGATACATGTAGTCTGAACTATTTGTTCAAAAACCAAATGCTCCTAAATGTATTCAGCTGATATAAAATTATACTAATAAGCTAGAACAGGGGTCCCCAACCATAGACCAGCCCCAGTCTGTGGTCCTGCCAGGACTGGGGCGTGGAGATAAATTTCCTGTCCCCCCCCCACGCACAGATGCATGCACAGCCCCCACACACACATGCACGGCCCCTCCCATGCACACACAGATGCACACACGGTCCCTCGCACAGATGCCTGCCCGCTAAACTGGTCTATGTAGGCAAAAAGGTTGGGGACCACTGAATTTATGTCATTAACAGTATTCATTTTGGGTGTCTAAGATATCAAAGTGGTCAAAGTGGTATTTGCATTTGTGGCCAGATTCACAGCAAAGCTTTTGATCAGATAAACTAGCAGTAGACATTTCTGTGTGTAAGGACAATGCCAGGTGAAGGCAATTTTGTGTTCCGTTTTCTTCTGTTCCAGTGCTTTACCTCCAAAGGCATCTGTGCTGCCTAACTTGTAGGCTAATGTGAAGTACCACCAGTTGAAAAATTCAAATGTAAAAGGAAAGGCTAGCAGTTCTTAACATGCTTTGTTTAGTGACACTACTAGACATGTAAACCTGAACCCATTATGTCACAAATATGTACTGTCTCTAATATTCCATTTTATTTTTACAAATAAAGTCTAAAGTTGATGTGGAATCCAGACATTTTATTAAAATGACAGCAATAAACAGATTAATGGAAGAACCACAGGTTATTAGTCTGTTCGGTGCCTGCTGAAATCCTATTGTATTTGGCATAGCAGAAGTTTACAAGGAGCTGTGAACAGGCAGTCTGCATTGTGTACCTGATGGTGCACTTCACTGCACAACTAGTCTCTGCAAGCATAGGTGAGAGTGAAAACAAAATAAAAAAATTTAAATATAGAAGGCTAAAATGTTATAGATGGGTAGAGAAAACTGCACTAATAGATGTGAGAATGAAGATATGAGAATGAAGATGGCTATTACAGTCATGGCCAAAAATATTGGCACCCTTGCAATTCTGTCAGAAAATGCAACCCTTCTCTCAGAAAATTGTTGCAGTTGCAAATGTTTTGGTACTCACTTGTTCATTTCTTCAATTTGCGTTGGAACAACACAAAAACACAGAGAAGTAAAATCTGATATAATCCCACACAGAAACCCTGTCTAAATTGTAAGAAATAATTGTTTTCCAAGCATGTGGTGCTCCTTTAATTTGTATTTAGACACACCTGTCGCAAGTAAGAGGTGTGGGCAATATAGTAATCACACTTGGAATGGGTTAAGATGGAGAAAAGTTGACTCAACCTTTGTGTTGTGTGTGACACTAAGCATGGAAAGAATGAAGTGTAAAGAGTTGTCTATGGATTTGAGAGAAAAATTGTGGAAAAACAGTGACAATCTCAAGGCTACAAGTCCATCTTCAGAAATCTTAATGTTCCTGTGTCCACTGTGAGCAATATCATCAAAAGGTTTGCGGCCCATGTTATAAATATGGGTGAATCATGTAATGCAGAGGTTCCCCAACCCCTGGTCTGCGGCCTGGTGCCGGTGCGTGGCCTGAGCCGGACTGGGAGACAGACCTCCTGCCCCACCCCCCCACACTCACACCCAGACAGCTGATACATGCATGTGTGCATGCTTGTGTGCCCGTGCGAGCGCCACACCATTTGCACATGCACACGAGCGCAAGCACACCCAGACAAGCGCCACACTGCTGTTCGTGTGTGTATGCAAAAGCACCACACCGCCGTTTGTGCATCTGCAAAAGCGTGGGCTCATTTGTGTGAGAGTGTGTGCACTTGTTTGCGCATGCGCATGAGCACAGGGGGTTCCTCGCCTTCCCTAGCCAGTCCATGGGGTGAAAAAGGTTGGGGACCCCGATGTAATGGATAAGCACATCAAGCCGTGTTCTCTCTTTTGTTACTCTAGATACAACATTTACTTTTTCAATTCCAATTGTTATGACTGGTTCTCTATGCTATATATTATGCTGCTTGAGTTCTTTCACCAAACTTTCCTGCGATACCAGACTGATTAAAAAAAAATCAGAATGTCTACCACAACGCACTTGTCCTATATGCAAGTCATATCTCTTAGCTTTTACTTTTTCCTCTCTAGGTGACTCTCCATATTGTATATAATTTCACATTTTGATGTATATTTAATACAATACATAGATATTTGTACTGTTACTAGTCATTCAAACATTTATCTCAAAAAAGAATTGCCAACAAGTATACAAAGATTCCTCTTAGCCTCTGAATGCAATATTTCAATGGAAGCTGGAGACAACCATTTTGAGCATTTTAAATATTTTTATTCAGGTCATTTTCACATAAATTTGCAACCATGATACAAGGATGTAACACAAGAATATTGAAGTGCAATGAAGAATACAAAGTTAGTGTATGAATAATTATAAATAATGTTTCAGAGAAAGATTTATAGATTTTAAAAGAAAGGCTCTTTGAAAAACTGAAATATTAAAAATTCCTCCAAGTGGCTTTTCATTGAATGTGTAACATTTGCTTGCCTATAAAATTTCCTGATAGGAAACTCTCTTATTTCAATTCAAGTTAAAATATTTAAGCACCGTTGTACCATCTGGAATGTGAAGAACATGTTTTATATTTTATAAGGCACAGGGTAGTCCACTTTCAGTGAAATGAGCATACTTCAATTAAGTCCAACAAAAACTACAAGAATGTACAAAAAGGCTGACTGAAAAAAAATCCTCATTATTGGTTTATCCTTTAGATTTAAACATGGATCATGAAATGCTTGGAATAGCAAAGCTTTGTATGCTAGTCAAAGTCAAGTGTGTGAACAGCCAAACAGTGAAGAATATTTCAGTGATGTATTTCAGTATTTACAGCTGAAGACAGATTTTTTTTTTAATCAATGGCCCAATAATTTCAGGGGCCACAGGAAAATACCCCAACTGTACTTTTCCCGCAAATCAGCACCTTTTTCTTTTTGCCATATACATCCAAGCTGAGGCCTGGTTCCAAGGATGCTTAGTATTGCTGTTCACAGATATTTTGCTCTCTTCCAGAAACTGGAAACACATTTTTTAATGAAATAGTGAATCTGTATAGCCATGTTATTCAGAATATCAGGTAGGCTAACTCTACCTGTTAAGCTGCCACCATGGGGTCATCGGCCCCTGCTCCTCTCAGTAGTCATCAGATTCCCAATACCAGCCACAGTATTTCCTCCTGCTGCTACTATTGCACACTTTTTAAAAACAACAAAGAGCCTACATATAAGTATGGTAATTTGTATGTGTATCGAAGAGGCAACTGTCACTGTTGGCATATCAAACAGTCTAGCATATGTTGTGGTATATTATTAGATATATGACAGTCAACACTGGTGGTTCAGGCATCCATAAGAGCCATCAAAGACAAGGATGTATTCACTAGTAAATGAAAAAGAAATAAATGGTTCTTGTGGGCATATTTTTATCCAAATACAAGGACCAATGTTTGATTTACATTTACAAAAGTTACAGTACTGTATGAGTGAAATCTAACTTTGTCCAACTACCCATGGAATAAATATTGTTGACAGATTATTCCTACATTCCCTCTGCACAGATGCCAAATTTGGTCTGTATAGTATGGGGGGGATCCCCCAGTTCACTGGAAACACTGGAGAGAGGAAGGAAGAAGCCCAGTTGTGCAAATAAAATTCAGCTCCTGTGATGTGAGATTTCACCCCATAATCTCAGGGAGAATATGAGTCATCCATATGATTTGAAAATGTACACGTTCTGAAAATCTGAAAACTAAACAATCAAAGATTTCTATCAAAGAATTACTGACAAATACTTTATAGTACTCCCAAGTGCAATGTGTCACTTTTTACACAGTGTAATATCAAAATACTGCAGATTTTATACCAAACAGTTTAGCCAACAACTGAGCATTTGTAAGGATTATTCAGTAAAGTGATGAGGGAAGAGACTTTCTGTTAATACTTATTTCACAGTTTGGAGGTTTTATTCAAAAAGGATTAACTCTTCTGCCTACAACCACAAACTAGGGTTGTATTCTATTTCTCAATGTTTCAGGTTTTGACCCTTAACTGCTACTGTAAAATATATTCTATCTTGCATACATCAGGTATTCTTACATGGTATTTATTGCATAGATGGCTATTGTTTCTAAAATATTTTTCTCCCAAAACAATCCTTTATTCCTTTTTTTTTACTAGCTAAACAGTTTAAAAGTACAGTACTCTGTAAGTTTCTGAAGAACATGAACATACATCAGCTTCCTTCTGACAAGGTAAACATTTAAGCCTTGTCACTTAAATATATTACTAGTAACCTCTTTATCAGCCTAATTCTTGCAATAAACAGTTAAATTTAAGTTTACTTTAAATAATGGAGCTTAGCAGGAAATACCAAGTCTGTAAACTTACACTTTTTTCCACCGCACGTATTTGCAGCTTTAATAAGCTGATAATAATAAGCTTGGTTATCCAAATCCAGACAGTCTTGTACATTAAGCATAAACCACTTCTTTAAAAGTGGACTGTGCTTCCAGTAAGCTAACTTTTATACTATGGAAGCTTCACTTCCTCAGCTGGTTCAGATTTGGCACTATAACTACCGATCTTCTTTCCTACTCTTTATTGTCAGTATTATATTGCTGCAATCCAAAGAACTGTGACATAAATTCCATGATTCCAAACAGCCTTTGGAAGCAGTGCCCTGGCCATATAAAAATACACACTTCAAGGGGGAGGAAAATCATGAAAGCTATTATGTGTTACTGAGAAGGGGGGATAAAAGTTGAACAAATACAACCTGTTAAGATCCCAGTGGGCTTACATGAATCATCAGATGAAACTTCTTTGGATCTCAGCCTATATGAACATGGTTTAAGTTGTTTTTAAGCCTGTTCACAGATAGGTTACTGATTTCCAGTAGTCAGAGAAAAAGCATTTTTGTGAACAGTTGACTTCCTGGATCATTTCAAATTCTGCCTAAAGCACCAAACTCAACATTGTTTTCAAAAGTTGTAAAATATGAATAGAGAAATTCATTTCATTCTGAAGAATGTCTTAATGCTTCAGAGTCACATTAAAATTCTTTGTTTATATTCTTGTCCTTTTAAAAAGTTTATTAAAGTTTTTACATCCTATCGCAATTTATAAAATAATTGTATCTCAAAACCTTGAGCACCGATGCAGAAATGTTCTTTCGTCTTAATAGCTGTTGAACAAAAAAGACATGATAGTTAATTCTAACAGCCATCAAAATCAAGTAAAATATAGAAAACTAAAAACAGGCATTAGTTTTAAAGCTTCAGCAACGCTGTTAGTAAGTTACTTTTCGTCTGCTAAAATTTGTTCTTATTAACTGCTCTAATACTGCTTTAATTTATTTATTTGAGGAAGGAAGAGATAAGGATTCCATAAAAATGTTTGTAGTTGTTGAAGAAGCTTCATTTTCCCCAAACTGAATAATGCCTAGTGCTTAAAGAAAAGGGCCTGTCCCATTAAAAAAAATCAGCCTAGGAGAATCTGTGACAAATTCTTACCATTTTATTAACATCACTGCTGACTTCTGAGAATACTACTGGTTCTAGTTCTTAGGCTCCTAAAACTTATCGTGCTAAGAAGGAGATATAAAAGTCTGGTGAAGGCCTGCATTAAGCCAGCTGGTAGCAACAGAAAGACATTCCGGCACTGGGGGTGTAAATATTATTATTAGAACCACAACCATGAGGTTCATATGCAAAATTTAAACACAGGGTTGAGTAGCACTTTTATTGAACCACCAACAGCCATTGCCCAATCCCCTTGTTAGATGCAGAACTGATACAGGTTGTATTTATAAATCCCAGTACTGCACTCCTGAACTCAATTTGGACAATATAGTGAATAAAATGCAGGACTTTTTTTTAATTTATATACCGCCCCATAGCTAGTGAATAAAATGCAGGACTTCAGAAATTAAGGGATTATGGTAAATGTTGCATTGATATAAATTGGATAATCCATGCTTTATCACTGAAAACTCTGGAAGTTCAGATGACTGACCTATGGCTGCTAGAGAGAAAAACTGTACCGTTCTGGAAATTGCTGCATCTGCATGAGTTCAGTATATGGTTTTATTTAAGCATTTATTGTTTATTAATGTTTATAATTGGTTGTGTCTCTGTGAAATAGCAGACCTGGAGAAAACCAGTCAAATTGGGTGAGTATGATTTTGGTACAGAAATCTAAAGTTAATGTGGATTTGCTTGGACTTCCTTAAAAAGTTAGTCCATGGTGTTCTAAGGATGCTCTTTATCTGGAACATAATCAGCAGTATCCGGAGAGTTTGCAAGTATAAGCCAGGAATAACAGCTGAAGCTCACTGAGTCCACAGAACAGAAGGAATGTACAAATCCCTTCAAATCCCCAAAACAAGATTTCTAAAGTGAAAGTAATTCAGAAAGAATTCAACTCCACTGTCTTGCATTGGCAAGCAATTCAACACTTGCATTATTCCTGCAGTACAGCATTTTAACCACTGCGCCACGAGGCTCTTCTTCAGAAACGAGGGGATTATGGTAAATGTGGCATTGATATAAATTGGATAATCCATGCTTTATCACTGAAAACTCTGGAAGTTCAGATGACTGACCTATGGCTGCTAGAGAGAAAAACTGTACCGTTCTGGAAATTGCTGCATCTGCATGAGTTCAGTATATGGTTTTATTTAAGCATTTATTGTTTATTAATGTTTATAATTGGTTGTGTCTCTGTGAAATAGCAGACCTGGAGAAAACCAGTCAATTTGGGTGAGTATGATTTTGGTACAGAAATCTAAAATTAATGTGGATTTGCTTAAAAAGTTAGTCCATGGTGTTCTAAGGATGCTCTTTATCTGGAACATAATCAGCAGTATCCGGAGAGTTTGCAAGTATAAGCCAGGAATAACAGCTGAAGCTCACTGAGTCCACAGAACAGAAGGAATGTACAAATCCCTTCAAATCCCCAAAACAAGATTTCTAAAGTGAAAGTAATTCAGAAAGAATTCAACTCCACTGTCTTGCATTGGCAAGCAATTCAACACTTGCATTATTCAACACTTGCATTCTAGGCCATTCAACAGTATTGGTTGTATGGCAAACCAAAGGCTAAAGCATATAGTTTGACTAAAAAATTAGACTTAATTTGAATCTCAAATGCAATCTGAAAAGGAAGCAACTGACATTAAGAGAAATGCACAGACCCAGTTCCAGATACAACTCTACGCTTACAGTCAATATTTCATCCACAAGCTCAGATCTGAATTGCGCACACACCTCTACCTCCTCTCTCTAGTGCTGCCACAATATCAGAAGCTTCCACTTTTAAACTACCTGGAGCTCTCCAGTGTATCTTGTTTGTTGAATGAAACCAGGATCACAAACCTCCGTATGATCCCGGTTGTTTGTACAAAACCCTGGTATGTTCAAAGCAGCATTTACCCCAAGTTCATTTGTAAGGGGGAACTTTGATTTTCAGTTTAAAAGCAGCTATTTCCAATCTCATGGCTGGACAAAACAAAGGGGGAGGTGCAATCTGAAAGCTTGTATCAATAATTAAGTTATTCCTTATGTTAGTCTTTAAGATGCCATAAGATTTGTTTCTGATTTTCTTACAACAGACTAACACAGTTACTCCACCTCATGGAAATGTCTGAAAAGTTTCATTCTACATTTTGTATGACTACAACATATTCTCTTCCCCCCAAATATTATTGAAATTTAAGACTTGTACTGCAAAATATTAGAGATACAGCAACACTACTACTCACGGTGAAATTGTGCATCCGGAAGCATACGCATGGTGACCTGTGTAGCGAATATCACAACGTACTATGTTGTTGGAATAGTCCGATTCTGGTACCAAATAACTAGGGTTTACACTAACCTACAAGAGAAATACATGTTACACTTTGCAGTTTCACATATTTATTAATTATGTGTCTCATAAGTTTTATTACCTTTAAAATGTAATTTCCAGGTTTTACATCTGTAATATCAATCCACTGGCAGTCTATGTCGGCATTATATGTGTCATAACAACCAGGACTCAGTCCCTAGAAGTGAAGTGTAGAAACAAGTGAGATCTCAATTTTTAAGCCGTCAATATTCTACTGATAAATGTCAAGCCCACTGACTAGTTATAAATTCTCTGCATTTCACAAAGTAATACCTTTAATTTAGCTGCCTTGAGCTTCCTTATTGAGAGAAAAGCAGCCTATAAATGACACTAAATAAATAACATTAAAATAATAAGAACAAAAATCTTTATTTTACGGCCACAGACAGGAAAATAAAATAAAAATAAATACGTTTTTAGACAATGTATTATATTTTGGGAAATTGAATACATTTAATTTCCTTACAAAGCTGAACAATGTGCCTTGGTTTCCATACATATATGGCTTTGATCAAGAGATGTTTGCATAAATAAAATGTCAGTCCTGCTTGCACAAAGTAGCCCCGCTTTCCTATTATACTGTTCCACAGAGTCCCTCAATTCACAGAAGCAGCTTTTGGAAATGAAGTGGGGACCCAGAAAAGCCCACTGCATGAGGGGACATCACCCCATCTATCCCTGGATTTAAACCTATATTTTTCTTTCTTAAATAGGCAGAGGCTATATTATATGTAGCCTCTGCCTGTTTAAATATACAGTGGACCCTCTACTTACGGAATTAATCCGTATCGGAACAGTGTCTGCAGGTCGAAAAGTCTGTAGGTCGAGTCTCCATTGACCTACAATGCATTGAAAACTGATTAATCTGTAACCGGCCGTTTTTGTTCCGTTTTTGTTCCATTTGGGTTTTTTTCTGGTCTGTAGGTCGATTCTCTGGCTGCAAGTCGAACCTAAATTTTGCAGCCAGAAAAGTCTGTAAGTCGAGCTGTCTGTAAGTTGAGGGTCCACTGTATGTGTTCTTGTGTATTTTACATGTTTAAAACTAGCTAACAGGAATAGTTATGACCATTCACTATAAAGATGATATGCTCTCTTTTCTATCTGAACATCCAGAAGAATATATCCAGATCCTGGTATAATTTCTTTGCATTCTGAACAATCTAAGGATCTAATCATTTTTTGTTTCTCTCTCAAAACAAGGCAACCGCCTCCCCTAGACTGACTGACTAAAACATAGGATTGATGCTAGGCTTTTGTCCAAGCCCCACTGCAATCTTGTAGGGTGAAAGAAAAGGTTTTAACTTAGGAAACATGTTATTGTCCTGAAATGACAGCCACTAACAGAGAGCCATTCACATTCCATGTGCTATGTGAAGTCTAGTCCCTTTCCCCACCCTGTGACTGCCCCTGTGAAAAGCACAGTGCTTGGCCACCAATTGTGTGTCACTTGGCAAGAGCTAAGTGCTCGTTATGGAGAAGGTCATGGGTATATGGAGTGCTGGCAGCTGCATGCATTTTTTGATCTGGAATCTGGATGTGGATTCCAGTTGCTGAGGAAAATACTTCATAACAAGCACAGGTTTTGAAACAACAGATGAAGCCACAAGAATGTTTAAAGAATTCAAAGTAGCATCCGAGTGTTGAATATTTGATGGACTTGGACACCTCCTTGTAGTAGTAATGGGACATATCCTGCAGAGGCTCTTCATGGTATAATTGCCTGTTGTCCTCATATGCACTACCATCGTAATCCCTGGTAACCAATACAGAGACAGCCCTAGAGTGTTTGTTGCAACTGGCTGCCACCTGCAATAATACACTTCCTCCACATCTTTAAGCCTACTAAATTAAGGCTTAAGTGGTGGTGTCGAAAATTGCATGCCACAGCAGGAAGATCTGGGATACATTAACATCTTAAACCCACCCATCCAAATGACAGAAGTAAAGTATAACCAATGTTAAAACTTTTTTATTACAAGTTATTTATGGTTGTTCTTCTCAGTAATATTTACTTATTAAAATAAAAGCATTTGGCATTGCTGTTCGGCTCACCAGGGCTCCCCAAAGCAATGTAAAACAAAATATAGAAAAACATTCTTTAAGAGACAATTCACTGAAAACATATCAAAGTGAACAACATTCTAACACAAGAGAACCAGCCACCTCCTTCATATTTTCCTACATGTGGAGTGAAATGGCCATCAGAGGTTGCTCATTCCTGCAGTAACAGGCATGCCTGTTTATAAAACAGAGGCATTTTACTCTAAGCACAATTACATTGTCTTGAATGCTTTTGTTTTGATGCAAGATTAGAAGTATCAGAACTTTCAGAGAATAAAATGATCCCAATCCTTTGGCTAAACTGCTTCTGAGGCACAGAGCATCCCTCGACAGAAAGGAGTGCTTCGTGTTGTATCCTCAGCTTGTTCTGGTCTACTAACTGATTCCACCCACCTAGGATCCAAACTGGCTCATAAGGGAGCGTAAAGCACCAGCTTCTACTAATTATATTCCTTATAATTTTCTTAGAAGGTAGAAGCCTTTTGTTTAAAAGCGGGGAAATTAACATCTATAAAACTGCATAGATACTATTCCTGCACTGCACACTGATACCTCATGAGCTGTAAAAAAAAAACTGGTAACAGAAATCAGGCTGTACCCTGATGGCAAATATACTTTATTAATAACTATAGATTACCTGTGTGTGTGCTGTACAAGCATATCGTCGATAGTACCCATAATCGCAAGAAGTATCCTCAAGACAAAAGCTTGCTTTGTGTCCTTCTGCTACCCTCCTATGTGAGCTTGCTTCAAGCAAGTCATAATGGCTGAATTCATCCATACTGTGATAATGTCTGTCAAATGTTACAGAAAAATTAGTAAACAGATTTGGCTTTGCCTATGCAATAAAACAAAAATTAATAACAGCTGTGGGTCAATGAAACAATAGTTCACTTAACATTCAGAAAGACATTTAAGGCTGCAGCTTGCAAAGCTAGTGGGTTAACACTTTGTTGCCCAGGGAAGATGTCTCTACACATAGTTATTGTTGGAGGGTTTTTTTTAAACAAACTTGTCTGTAGTTTGGCAGGGAGGGACCTTTCTGGGCTGGGGTGACTGTCAATCTATCCAGCATTAACCAATCATTCCAATCCTGCCTTTGGAATTCAAAGAAAGCCCTGCCTCTCTGCTAAGTGCTTTTTTCCCTCTCTAGTGTCTGTTGAAGTCTGTTGTGAATGACAGTTACGTGTGTCAGTTTGATGTTTCATTTCTTTGCAAATATAAGAAAATGTTTTCTATTCTTCCTACCACTAATGTCTGAGTAAGTTATTGAGATGTTAAGTGCCAGTTTAATGAAAAAGAGGTGGACTGATCTGGAGAACTTGAAGTTATTTTGCTCTGTAATGAGAAAGAGGTGGACTAATCTGGAGAACTTGAAGTTATTTTGCGAATCCCTGTGAATCCCTGCATTTCTGCTGCACAACTAGACAAGTTTAGCCGAAAAAACCTCTGGAGCAGTTAGAATATATCAATAATTACATAAAGCATGTAGTCTTTAGCAGTAATTACAGTATATAATTTACTTTAAAACAAAGTAATACATGAACTGCTGTTATTTCAAAATTCCTGCTGCAGAAAGAATAGGAAGTGCTTAATGTAGCCATATATGCCTACTGTTACCATAAGACTGTTTATCTGGTTCCAAAATGTCTGCTTTTACTAACAGCCTCAATAATATGTGCAAAATAATTTGAGATTTACTTTAAACTCCCCTGTATATTCTACTGTGATACAATTTGCTTTGTCTTCTATAGGATTATTCTATGGCCATAGTATGAAAGACCTTTGTTCTAGGATTACATTTTCCACAATAAAAGTAGTGGTGGGGAAATTTAACCACTTAGGCACGATCAGACTCCAACAGGGTGACTCTCTTGCTCAGCACTATATACCTAAAAATCTGCTTCAAAGAACTGGAGAACCCACTCAAGCCAGCTTTTGTGGCAAAACTGACAACTGTAACAGGGACTTAAAAAGGAAACACAATTTCGTTCTGTTCTTCTTTAGGAGTTATATGACATTAGATATAGGACCATGTTGCATCTTCTTTGCACGATATTCCTTCTATGGTTGTTTGCAGTGAACACGTGTTAAAAAAACCCCCTACCATTCAGGGCAAGAGACTTCCCTTCAGCTTCAAGCCCTGCTATCAAAATTACAAGCTCTTATCCACACTTGTCATCTTTACTAAATGTATGCATTATTTTTAAAAAATATATTTTCCGATCACATCTCAACAAAAATATTCCATGTTGTTTCCAGCATGCCAGCATGGCTTAGTGGTTGGACTGTGGGAGCAGGACAACTCAGAGGACCCAGGTTCAAATTTCCTCTTGTCCATGAAGTTCATTGGACGGCCTTGGGCTCATCACTCTCTTCCAGTCTAACGCCTTACACAGAATTCTCATGAGGATAAAACATGGGGAGGAAAACCAAGGATACCACTTTGAATTTAGAGGCAGGAAGGAATAACAGGCTGGATATAAATAAATTGTTTTTTATTCTTCAGGCAAGATTTTTTTTAAAAAATCTCACTTCAGCAGGAAAGGATGGTGCTGCTTTTCCAAATTCTGAGTAGATGGGGTTAAGATTCTGCTTTTGTTCTCTCTCCAAACAGTAGCAGGGGTGGGGGAGCCACATGAAAACAAACAAGTAGCAAATGAACATAATTGGAAAGTACCATACTGAGCCCTTCACTCACTGATGACAGCTGTGCCACTCCCATGAGTATCGTGGTCGACTTGGTAAGAAGTCAGATGTCCCTTGGTTTTTCACTCTCTGGGGGAATCTCAGAAGCACTCTGGTATCATAGTCCCTGACATCACCCCTGTATGCTGAACTGCAATGATGGAAAAGAAAATATGCATATGATATATAGACTTTACATTGCTTGTTTAATACATTTTAGCTTCAATGTGGTATTTGCATTATCTCTCCTGGAGCTTACTGGGTTTGTTGCAAACTTAGTCATGTTTAGACTACCATCCACAGAAATCAATTCAAATGTAAATTGGTCATAATTGAACTATGTCACATTGATTTTAGTGGGCCTACACTAAACATATTTATTTATTTAAAAGGCACCTTTATCTCCATAGGAAACACATAAATACATCTACATCCAGCTCACTGAAAATCAAGCATTAAAATATCAATTAACAATTTCTAATTAGGTATTTGCAAGTGTCTGAGTGTATTTTTATTTATTTTTATCATTCAGTCAAATTTTGCTTACAAAACTGGACTTCCCAGTAAGTTTTTTTTTTAACCAGAATTCTTTGTTTCTGCTTCCTACTGGTTCTCCACGTCTTTCCTCTCCTGCCAGATTCAACAGAGCTTATTTTTCTTTTCTATAATTCTTTTTTTATAAAAAACACCTTCTCATTTTAGAGTTAAGTAACATTCCTATTGCAGCTTATGGTTTAACGTCTGGAATATATTATTTTTTAGTTAAACTTACAACTGCCTTCAAGGTCCCAAGTACTCTGCTAGCTATTTTCCTAACACACGTATAATACTCTCAAATTGACTTACCAGTGTGAAGCTAGTAAATCTTGGCGGACACTATTTTTTAAAGGCATTTTTGAATAATATTATTGTACTTAAATTTAATGCTAGAAAGCCAATTTGAGCCTTAGCTCCAAACAGGAACATTTTTCCACCACTGTGGCCACAGATAAATCCACTTATGTGCACTGCCGAAAATGCAACTCACCCATTAACATTAGAGAAATGCTTGAAAGGTGATCTGATATATACCTACTTTGAACTAAATCCCATTCAGTTCAATTGGGTTTATTGTGATTTACAAGAAGAGGCAGACTTAACTCTTATGCATTATCATCTTTACATTATATGGGTGGTTTCCGTGCCTTTTTTTCTGCCTGAGACAAAGGGCAAGGGGGCACCCCTCCATTCCATGTATAAAAACTAGACACACCTACTGCTGAATCTTATTTCAACAATAGTGATGGAACATCATCCTGTACTTCATCTGATGGCAGCAGGTTCACTTAGAGGCACAAGACAGGATCACTTAGAGGCACAAGACAGGCTGCACAGCGCATGCAGTTTTTTCTGTTTCCTTACCCTCCTTCACCATCTGTTCTCTGCCAGAGCTGATTTGCTCTGTCTAATGGTAGAGGCAGCCCTGATGTTCACTCAGTGATTCCCAATGATTTCAGTAGAACATATTCTCAAGTATGTGTGCATGGGATTATGCTAATTAAATAAACTGCATTAGATATAATATGAGCTTCAACTGCAAGTGCTGAAAAGCAGTAACTGGCTTGCTTGTTTAAAAACAAGATGGGAGGCGGCAGGTGTGGGTGGTGGAATGAGAATGATTTGGAAACTGTTAATCAAAGAGCAAGTCAGTTTCCTTTAACTTTATTTTACAATTTCCAAAGAAATCTGCTCAGAGGGGACTTTAAAAGAAAAAAAAATAACAAAGCACCAGATTAATGAGAAACAGGCCTTGGTAAGGCAATAATTCCCAGACAAGGGGATGGAAGCCTTGTAGCTGGGTCAACGAGCTCTCAACAGAGGATAATAGAATCAATATGTTATGAACTGGAATGGGGATGGAGTTCTACTTTAAAAAATTAACAACATTAAAGCCTCTCCCCCACACCTTGACTGCTACTGGTGATGTTTCAAAAATCTTTCCAAACATGACCTGAACTATTACGTGAAAAACAATGGGTACCCCTTTGATTAACTCTCTTCTACTTTAAAAAATTTACCAAAATTAAAGCCTCTCCCCCATCCCTTTACTGCTACTGGTGATGTTTCGAAAATCTTTCCAAACATGATCTGAACTATTACGTAAAACAATGGGTACCCCTTTGATTAACTCTTATTCTCCAATTCAGTATTTTCTCACCCGTTACAGTAAAAACCCAGAGAGTGTGATGTAAAATGAGGGGTTGTAACCATGCTTACCTTGCCAGGCAGTTCTCCTCAGCAGCACATCTTAAGTTATACATGGATGTCCTCTGGACGTAGGTGGATGCTTGGATATAGTAGGGATCTGGCACTAGGTCAGGAAGCCCTGCAGTGCATGAAATCACACACATACAAGTGGATCAAAACCAGGACACATCTGCAAGATTCATTTCTCCACGGAGAGAGAAGCCACCATTGAAGTTCTAAGTTTCCTATCCGTTATACTGCTGTCTCACACCCACTTAATAAGAGCAGGAGTCACTTTTCACAAGATAAAAAGAATCCCAAAGAGGCAATGTGTCTCACAGACTGGCAGATCCCTTACAGCTTTCTCTTCTGCTAACTGATCTTTCCTCCCAAATCTTCAAGGCATCTTCACTCATAAGGACACCAGCTGAAGAGAAACAACCACTGAAGATTCCCCAGAGATCAAAATACTGTACCAGAAATATGTCTGCTACAATGGAGCATTGTTCTTCATTTCAAGGAGCTGAAGCTACACTGAAACCAAAAAGGCTCTAAGCAAACCATGTTTTGAATTAGCCTGATTATAAGATGAGTCTTACAAGGAAGGCTCTCGTCCCTTTCATATTCTGGAGCTCAAAGAGACAGCTCCTGCATTTTCTTTGCTCTGAAGTAGGGAAACAGGGTTTGTGGGTCCCAGCACTGTGTTCTTCCATGTATGGTTGAGGCTCAGCACCTGATTAGGTAAAAGGACTGCATGCTGTTTGGATAAGGATATTATTTAGCATCAGTTAAAACAAAAAGAATGTCTCAGTGCATCTGTATGGAAGTTTTGCCTTGCTATGGAGAACTTGTGTGCAGTCAAGTTAATTCTGATTTGTGGTGATCCTTCTCAGTGTTTTCTAGGTAAAAGAGTACTCAGAAGTGTTTTACCCTTCCCTTTTTCTGGCGGGTGCCCTGGGATTGCGCAGCTTGGCTCTGCTCCCAAGAGGCCCACTGGAGAACCGAACTTCCAACCTCTGGCTCCTCAGTGAGATAGCCCAACTCACTGAGCTGCCCAGCCAGCTTAGTATGGAGTAATCATAGCTAAAATGTGGGAGTGAACATTTGGAAATGAAAAAAATGAAATGAAAAAAAATGAATGTTCAACAACTACTGAGCCACTAATTATTGTAGAAACAACGCCTAAGGAAATTAATTAGGCTGGAGGTAGGAGAGAATTTTAAAAAGCCTGGCCACAAAACTACCCTCTCCCCAGCTTGATAAGCGGAGTTGTCCCGCGGTAGGAGAAGAAAGCTTTGGGGCCTGTGCTTTTTTAGATGCATTTTTAAACATTCTCTTTCTTTGTAAAAAAAAGTTCTGTCCTGCCCTTTCTTAAGGAGAGAAGAAACAGCCATCGCTAAAGTAAGCCCTGGCGAGGGCCACTTGGCAAAGCGCGTCCCATTTCCTCAGGCCAAAGAGAGCCGCGCCGAGCCCGCGGAGGGCGCGCGGCGAGAATGGGGACCAGATGGCGCGTCGAGGCGGCAACGGCGCTGCCGGGCTTGCCAACTGGCCGAGGCGAAAGCGCGCCGTCTGGCGAGGAGGAGGAGGGGATTTGCCACGCGGCGGCGGCGGCTTAGCGGGGATGCTTTCGTGGGGGGCGGGAGACGGCTGCGCTCCGGAGGCCCCGGCAAATGCAAACGGCTGTCCTCTACGCAAACGCGCAGCGCCTCAACCCGCTTCCTGCAGCGGCGGTGGGGAACCTAGGTACCCAGATTTACACACTCACTCTCTCACTCATTCACACACACACACAGAGAGAGAGAGAGACGCCACCGCCTGGCGCTCGCCCTCTTACCGTACTGGAAGTAGCCGGTGCCGTATCCCGGCCGGTAGCGGCTGTTCTGTCGGGGCCGCTCGTAGGTGTCATAATAATTGTAATAAGGGTTGTCGTCCGTGTACTTCTGTGGGTTGTAAGGGTCGTCTCCCACCATGACATCGTCGCGGCGCGGCGGCCGGAGGTTGCTCAGAGGAGGGGAGGCGCTCCCGTTGCCCGGCCTGGAGCTGTCGCCTTCGAGGGGCCTCAGGCGGGCCGCCCCCTGGGAGCTGCCGCCGCCGCCGCTTTCGGTCCCGGGACCCCGGCTGCCGCCGCCAACTTAAACTAGTTGAAATGGAATTCTTCAATTTAGCTTCTTTATGTTCTTGCTTGTAATTCATTTATCCACTTATAATTTATTCATTATAATCCATTTACTCAATATAATTCATTTACTTGATAATATAATTCATTTACCAGTTTTATTCATGTACTTAGTATAATTAAGTCTTTTGAAATGAATTTATATTTGTAAAGATTCACTGGGTTTCTTTAACAAAAGCACTAAGATGTCTCTGTTAAGTCAAAAGAAAAATAGAGACTACTGTCATACAGATTAAAATTTCCATAGTAACTTCTGTCATTTATAGCTCAGACATCCTTTGAAAATGATATTGATATTTCCTGTTGTTTCCTAGTATTACATATGTTCTAATAGGGGGGAAAAGCCCCTGGACACCACTGGACTATTTGGGGCATAATGGGGGTTTTCAATACATAGTGCAATGTCACAATGCAAATCCCCCGTCGACGACCACGAACGGCGGCGGCGGCGGCGGCCCTGTGGGTTGCAGAGCCGGGAGGGCAAGACGTCGGGGCGGCGGGGCTTTTCTTCCCGCACACGAGCTTTTTTCTTAGCGCTCAGACGCGACGAGGTGGATTTGGGGGAGCCCCACCCCGTCCTTTGCTTCCGAGGGCGGTGTGCTGCGAAGACGGGTTTGAAGAGGACGCGCGGCAACAATGCAACCCGTCTCTCCCGCCCGCTTGTGCTAGTGTCTGGAACGAAGCGGCGGGGGAGCGAGGGAGAGAAGGGGGGTGGGAGGGGGAGGAGATGAGGGATTTTAAACTTTCTGGCAGATTTGCAAAGTTACACAAGCCCATTCTGGCAGGCGGTGCCTCTGCTATTTGTTCACGTAATGCGATGCGAAACGTGCGAGTCTGACAGCTCCCCGGCTTCCCCCCCCAACCGCCCTCTTCTCTCTTTCACACACAGAGAGAGAGAGACCACCCTCCCCTTTCCTCCAGCCTCCTCTGCGCGGGTCCTGAACTCCCAGAGGGACAAACAGGGCAAGCCCCCTTTCTGTACACCCAGTTCTGCGGAGGGCTCTCATTTTCTCGCCCCCTCTCCCCATGGAGAGCAGTGTGCCCTCGAGGGTTAACAGCAAGCAGGCATTTTTCCCTCAGACGACTCGGCCTGCCAGGTGGTGGGGCACGGCCAAAATATGCACAGAGAAAAATGCTATTAGATCATCAGCCCCAAACTTGAGAGGCGAGAAAGCAAGAGTCAAAGAGAGACGAAACATGTTTTCTGGGAAATATTTTCACCATAGACATCTCCCGTAATTTGAGTTCTGGCGGGGAAACTTGGTGGTGGCCGTGGTTAAAAAAAAAACAAAACAAAACAAAAAACCCTCCGTGTCCTCCTGTAATGCCCTTTTCATTATGGCCAAAATCCTCCTCAAATAAACGGGTGCATACCAAGTTTTGTTTTTCTCTGTATGAGTCATATGAGAACTTCGTGAGGGACGTGTCTCCTGGACAAGAGATTCACTTAAAAGTGAGTTTTCCCGTGGGAGGGACTGTCTATCATATCAGGAATGTCAGCTGGAAAAAAATAGGGAATGGAACTGAGCTAAAATAATTTCCCTTTTTTTTTCCTTCCAGAAAAAATGCTACCAATTCAGCATCTCCTATAATGGATCAAGATAACCTGTTGGACCCTGAGAGACCAGTTTTAAAATTCACTGAGTACAGGCTCCAGACATTTTCCAACTGTCTGTAACATGTTAAAGGATATTTTGTAATGAATCACTCTAAAAGGAATGGTACAGATTGTGCTTTTTCCTCTCCATACTATATGCTTGGTACTCAATATGGGTCATTTGAACACCAGATCTCTTGATTTGATTGCACAAGGAGGTGCATTATATTCAGCATACTAGTAGTACATTTTGAAGTGCAGATGCTCATCGTGAGAGTCCCTATATGCAGTTTCCCATGAGTCCAAAAATGTTAACAGGTGGATTAACCAATAGCAAGAGATGAGAAGCAGGTCTTTTGTAATAATTTGTTGTTGTTTAATCATTATGTCTTGTCCTACTCTTCATGACCCCATGGACCAGAGCACACCAGGCCCTCCTGTCTTCCACTGCCTCCCAGAGTTTGGTCAAATTCAGGTTGGTAGCTTCTGTGATACTGTCCAACCATATTCTCCTCTGTCGTCCCCTTCTTCTCTTGCCTTCACACTTTCCCAACATCAAGGTCTTTTCCAGGGAGTCTTCCCTTCTCATGAGATGGCCAAAGTATTGGAGCCTCAGCTTCAGGATCCTGTCCTTCCAGTGAGCTCTCAGGGTTGATTTCCTTCAAAATGGATAGGTTTGTTCTCCTTGCAGTCCAGGGGACTCTCAAGAGTCTCCTACAGCAGTGGTTCTTAACCTTTGTTACTCGGATGTTTTTGAACTGCAACTCCCAGAAACCCCAGCCAGCACAGTTGGTGGTGAAGGCTTCTGGGAGTTGCAGTCCAAAACTCCTGAGTAACCCAAGGTTAAGAACCAGTGTCCTACAGTACCACAATTCAAAAGCATCAATTCTTTGGCGATCAGCTTTCTTTATGGTCCAGCTCTCACTTCCATACATTGCTACTGGAAAAATCATAGCTTTGACTATTCGGACTTTTGTTGGCAAAGTAATGTCTCTGCTTTTTAAGATGCTGTCTAGGTTTGTCATCA